TATCTAGACTGATATCATTGCTCTTCAGCACTCTTGAGAGGTCCATGACAACAGATTTTCCCAACACGTCTTTTGATTTCTTTTTTTTTTTTTTTTGCCTTGAAAGACAGGCTTTCATTAAATAAATTGTAACCTTTGGAAAAAAATTGTAACCTTTGGAATAGTGGCACAACTCCCTACGGATGAAACCATCATATGAAAGGAGTCTTATAGCATGCAACCTGTTGTGTCTGGCTTCTGCCACTCAGCGTGTGATTTTGAACTTCTGTCAACTTGTAGTGGGATAAATACTTTCATCTATTTATAGCTGGCTAATATTTCCCTATAAGACTGCACTGCATTTGAGTATTATCTATTCACTCATTGTTTCTACCTTTTTTGCCTTTTGATTTCTTGACTGCTGCTGTTAAGAGAGTTGATTGTGGATCCGAGCAAGCTGTAATTGCTAACAACTTCAATCCTTTTCCGTTTATTATGGTGCTGCCGATTGGCCCAGTGGTCAGAATCTTTGTCTTCATGATGTTGAGCTGCAAGACTACAGTGCTTGACTTTTTGCAGCAAGTGCTTCAGGTCTTCTTTCGTTTCAGCAAGCAAGGTTATCTGCATACTGTAGGTTGTTAATAAGTCTTCTTCCAATCTTGATGCCACACCCCTCCTCATAAAGCCCTGCCTCTCAAATTATCTACTCTGCATACAGAATGAAAAGGTGCAGGGACAGGATGCATCCCTGATGCACTCCTTTACTTATTCTGAACTATGTAGTGTTTCCTTGCTCTGTTCTGAGGACTGCTTTTTGTTCCAAGTATATGTTTTATAAAAGCACAATCAAGTGTTCTGAAGAGTCCCATTTTCCTCAAGGTTAGTCACAATTTATTGTCATCCACACAGTCAAATGCTTTTTTATAGTTAATGAAACGCAGAAAGACTTTCTTCTAGTACTCTGCTTTCTGTCAAGATCCATCTGACATTGGCAATAATATTCCTACTGCCATTACCTCTTCTAAACCCAACTTGTATTTCTGGTAGTTCTCAGTCGAAGATAGTGGAAAGAAAAAAAAAACCAAAATCAATATCATAAGAGAATTTAACTTGTGTTAGAATGCAATTTTTGTTAACAAAAAAAATTATTAAAAGACAGGAAATAAGCATGCTGTTTTAACTGTGTGGTAGAAAGTCACCTTTAAATTTTCTGTATTTATCCAGATGCTCATGGTTCTGAAATACTTTGCTTTTATTGTTTCTTTCTCTTCAGTGGGGTGAATAAGCATGTTTGTCCATGTTAGCAAATTCAAGTATGACAACGCAGGAAATAAAACTTAACTTCCTTCTACACCACAAACTTAATCCAGTGGGCTTTTGTTGGGTGGGTATGTGTGGAGTTTATCTTTAAAAATGGCTTTCCTCATTGTGGCGCTTTCTCAAAAAGTTGCAAACAAAGATACCATTTGACCCAGCAATTCCACTACTGGGAATATACCCTAAAGAGACCATAAATGACATCCAAGTAGATATACGTATACCCATGTTTAT